CGACTATTCCTCCTCCTCTCCCACATCCCAACTATTCCTCCTCCTATCCCACATCCCAATTTATTCCCCTTCCCAACCCACATCCCAGCTATTCCCCCTCCTCTCCCACATCCCGACTATTCCCACCTCCCAGTTATTCCCTTCTCCCAGGAACCAGCAGCAGGACAAGAGGGCTCGGCCTCCAGCTGAGCCAGGGGATGTTTAGGTTGGATATCAGGAAGGAATTCTTTCCATGGAGAGGGATCGGCCCTTGGAATGGGCTGCCCAGGGAGGGAGTGGAGTCACTTCCCTGGAGGTGTTTAAGGACAGACTGGATGTGGCATCAGTGCCACGGGCTGGGAACCACAGCGGGGTTGGATCAAGGGTTGGACTCCATGATCTCGGAGGTCCCTTCCAACCCGGCTGATTCTGGGATTCTGGGATTCTGGGATTCTGTGACCGGTCCTGTTCTAACCACAACGAGAGGGAGCCATGGGGTCAATCCCAGAGTCCCCCCATGTGGGATCCACAACACCAAGGGCCGTTCCCACCATAAGAAAAATTCCTCCTAAATTTAGAAAGACGACACAAACTCACGGAACAAAGGATTTATTCACCGTGCCGGGTCTTCCTCTCACCGAATTTCCGGGGGAAAAAGAGACCCTTTGGGTTTAATTTTCGTACATTTTATATTTCCGCAAAATCCCGCCTTTCGGCGTGTTCGTTTTTTGCCTAAAAAGGTTTTCTTTTCTCCGAAAAAGAAGTTCCCACCCCCCCCCTCTCCCCTCCACAGGGCAATGTTGTAGACGACGGGAATAGAATACACGACCACAGAATTGATCGTGACTAATCCCACTTTATTGCCGCAGGCTTTGTGCTTATAAAGGTTAATAATTAGCCTCATACATATTCCAAGCATAGGCTCATCATTGGCTTCTAATTACCTAAGGCATATTTGCACAAGTGCTGCTTCTTTCTCATGCCTATAGTTACTTATTTGCTACTTTGCTACTTTTCCTACTTTTCCCATCCTGTTGTTTTATCCTTCTATCACGTGTGCAGTTTCTTAGAGAAGGCAGCTTCACAATACAGTGACCTTCCAATAGTTTTCCTTTAGCGTGAGACCAGAGCTATAGAATCTTTCTCCACGCCCTCTTTCTATTAACCAGGTTTCTGCAATATTTTCCGCAGGGCAAGGCCGACTTCATGGGGCGCACGTTCGCCAAGCCGGTGGTGAAGATGTCAGAGGAGCAGTACGGGCCCCCCCGGTTCCCCCCACAGCTCGAGTACTACCAGATCTACCGCGGAAACGCCACCGCCGGGGACCTGCTGGCGGCATTCGAGCTGCTCCAGGTACCCCCCGGGCACAGGGAGGGGTGGCAGGGGAGTGGGCATGGAGCTGGGCATGGGAGAGATGGAAAGATGGGAGGGACCGGGATGGGAGGTGCTTCCTGGTTGGGATCTCGGGGATTGGGAAGGAGCTGCTCCCTGGTTGGGCTCTCTGGGATTGGGAAGGACTGGGCAGGAGCTGCTCCCTGGCTGGGACCTCTGGGATTGGGAGGGATGAAGCAGGAGCTGCTCTCTGGGATTGGGATGGACTGGGAAGGAGCTGCTCCCTGGCTGGGCTCTCTGGGATTGGGAGGGATTGGGAAGGAGCTGCTCCCTGGCTGGGATCTCTGGGATTGGGAAGGATGAAGCAGGAGCTGCTCCCTGGTTGGGATCTCTGGGACTGGGAAGGAGCTGCTCCCTGGCTGGGCTCTCTGGGATTGGGAGGGATGGGACAGGAGCTGGTCCCTGGCTGGGATCTCTGGGATTGGGAAGGAGTTGTTCCCTGGCTGGGATCTCTGGGATTGGGAAGGAGCTGCTCCCTGGCTGAGTTCTCTGGGATTGGGAGGGATGGGACAGGAGCTGCTCCCTGGCTGAGCTCTCTGGGATTGGGAGGGATGGGTAGGAGCTGGTCCCTGGCTGGGATCTCTGGGATTGGGAGGGATGGGGCAGGAGCTGCTCTCTGGGATTGGGAAGGACTGGGCAGGAGCTGCTCCCTGGCTGGGC